GGGGGTTGGGGCCCCGCCCCCTGGCACACTCAAGGCAGGGTCGATGGGCAGGTTGCAGCACCACCCCCTGTCATGGACAGAGCAGGGCCAATCAGGGGGTTGGGGTGCTGCCCCCTGTCACGCTGATCCCAGTGCCAGGAGGCCTCGCTGCTCTGCTGATCCCGGTGCTCGGAGGCATATTACCCTTTTACTATATAGGCTAGAAGCCTGGTGCACGGGTGGGGGCTGGCTAGTTTGCCCTGAAGGGGGTCCTGGATCAGGGTGGGGGTCCCCACTGGGGGGCCTGGCCAGCCTGGGTGAGGGGCTGAGGGCCGTTTTCAGGCTGGCGGGGGACTGAAGCTCCCACACTGTCCTTTTTTTCTTTTTTTTTCATTCTGGGCCAGCTTTAGCTATGAGACTTCCGCTGCTGAAAGCAGGTTTCTGGCCTTTGTTTACCCTTCTGTATTTGAAACAATGTTGCGGTCCTGCTGGCTGAAGCCCCGGGGTTTTGTTTAGCTTCTATTTTTGTAACATAGTTGCTTAGAGTGCAGCTGAGAGGCTGGCAAGGCAGGGGGAGGAAGCTTGGCTTCCTCCGTCACTAAAGCAAGCAAGCCTCATGTTAGCTTCCACCTGCCTGGCTGCCGGCCGCCATCTTGGCTGGCAGTTAATTTGCATATCGCCCTGATTAGCCAATGGGAAGGGTAGCGGTCGTACGCCAATTACCATGTTTATCTTTTATTAGATAGGATTATTAACTATATTCCCTATGCTATACTTTACATGCCCATGACTACTTGTAACTACCAATTTGCACTTCTCTTTTTTTTTAATCCTCACCTGAGGATATGTTTTTATTGATTTTAGAGAAAGAGGAAAGGAGAGAGAGAGAAAAACATTTCTCAGTTGCCTCTTGTATGCACCCTGACCAGGGATCGAACCTGAAACGTAGGTATGTGCCCTGACCAGGAATTGAATCCGCAAACTTTTGGTGTATGAGACAATGTCCCAACCAACTGGCAAGGGCCCAATTTATACTTCTTAGTCCTTCCCTCCTTTAAAAAAATATTTGTATTGATTTCAGAGAAGAAGGGAGAGGGAGAGAGATAGAAACATCAATGATGAGAGAGAATCATTGATCGGCTGCCTCATGCATGCCCCCTACTGGGGATCGAGCCTGCACCCAGGCATCAAACTGTGACCTTCTGGTTCATAGGTTGATGATCAACCACTGAGCCATGCTTTTTCATTCATACCCCCAACATCCCTCCCACCTGACAACTGTCAAAATGTTCTCTATATTTATGAGTTTCTGTTTGGTTTGCTCACTTACTTTGCTTTTTCTTAGATTCCTCATATAAGTGAAATATTTCGGGTGTATTTTAAGTAAGGCAGATAGATGTATATATAAAATCTCTCTGTCAGCAAAGTAAAAACTTTTTTGGAGTCAATTCAGAAACTCAGTCCTTGTCTATATGAATTTTCCAATAATTATTTTATAAAAATCATGTTCACACAAAAATCCAACACTTTTGTCTTCCTGTGTGATACTGTGAGGCTCTTATTTTGATATTAGGGCACAGTGGCCGACTTTTGGCAGTCAGTTAAGGATATAATTAACACCTGACATACACTCTGCTTCCTGGACTCTTGACTTGTCTGGGAACATATCTGGAGCCTGGGCAATAATGACCTATATGCACAACAGGATTTATTCTATTCTTAAACCTCTGAAAATATCCAAGTCAATGTGAAAGGTGCAAGTGAATTACAGGTCGCTAAGCCAAGGTTTTAAGGAGAGAAATAAACCATTTGAGATGAACAAAACCATAATTTAACCCTATATTAAGGAACTTGCTCAAAATTCCAAGCTATTTTTATTCAAAACGTGGAGACATTTATACATGTGTGTACATACACACATACACAGGCACACAAACAAAACCAACCACTAAGTCTCAGGAAAACACTGCTAAGAACAAACTATTGCTCAGGTTTCAGATTCAGGTTCTATGTGGGGTTCTAGTTCCCTCGATCCTTCTCTCGCTTTGAAACTAAAGCAACATAGCCCTGAAGTCATAGCCTTTTGATGTAGAAGGATCCTGAGAAGTCATCTAGTCTTATATACCCCCTGATGCCAGAGCTTCCTCTGCCAATCCCCCAAAGACATTCACTATCGTGTTGGGAGAGAGGCAGTGTTGCAGTGGTTGAATGCACATGCATTGGGGCAGAAACATAACTGGGTTATCCAGGCTTTACCACTTACTAGCAGTCACTTAGGGTTAAGCACCTTAACCTCAGTTTCTTCCTTTGTAAACAGTGTATGATAGTAGTACCAGCTATTATGAGCTGGAATGGGTTAATAAATGTAGTGTTTGGCATAGTGTAAGGACATGGTACTTAATAAGTGCTCAAATAAAATGTAGATAACATAGACTACTAATATAAAAGAGCGGCTCATTCCAATGTTAAAATAGTTCTGGCTGCTACTTCCCTCCCATGGATCCTGCTCGGCCCTACAGAGCTTAACCAAAATCCCTGAGTGACTATCAACAGGGCAGAGCTCATGGCCCACCTGAGTCTCCTTGTTGCCAAGCAGAAGTGCCCAGCTGTTCGATTTTTCCTCCTGTGGCCCTCCATGACACATGCTCTCTTTCCTGGACGTTTACAAGTGACTCCTGCTTGGCTTTGTGTACACAATGCTATCATATTGACTGTCTTGACAGAAAAGCTGAGTCCACAAGGGGTGGAATGAGCTGGGTGAATCCCCTAACTCAGCCTTAGACTGTGGTGAACTGAAGTCCAGAGATGGGTTTGCCAATGAGAGAACCAGTTAGCCCGTCTCTTGCCAGCTGTGAAGTTATCAGTTCCTTGCCTGTGAAATGAGGGTATAACAGTATCCACCTCCTTGAGTAATTGTGTGGATCCAAGGTAATACCTCTTTGACTCCTGTTCTTTCTTGACCCCTAGTCCAATTTTAAGGCCCACTAGTTCACTGACTGCTCCCATCACGGTTATCAAGGTTACCAAGGATCCTCATGTAGTCATATCCAGTGGTCGAGCCATGGCTTTCATCTTTCTTGACTACTTGGCAGCACTTATCACAGCCGCTAACTTCTTCCTCTTCTGAACATCTTCTTCACATGTCTTACGGGACACCGCTCTCTCCTGGCATTCACTAACTCTGGTTACTCCTGCAGTTTCAATTGCTAGATCCTTCTCTTCAGCTCCAAATGCTTTAGAGTCCCAAGTCAGGCCCCTTCTGTATCTACACTCACTCCCTAGGTCATCACATCCAGTGTAATACTGTGGATAAGAGCAGGGGCCGTGGAGCCAGACTGCCTAGGCCAGTGGTCGGCAAACCGCGGCACGCGAGCCACATGCGGCTCTTTGGCCCCTTGAGTGTGGCTCTTCCACAAAATACTACGTGCGGGCGCACACATACAGTGTGATTGAAACTTCGTGGCCCACGCACAGAAGTCGGTATTTTGTGAAGAACTGGTATCTTGTGGAAGAGCCATACTCAAGGGGCCAAAGAGTCACATGTGGCTCGCGAGCCGCAGTTTGCCGACCATAGGCCTAGGCGAGTCCCAGTTCTATAATGTACAAGCTGTATTATGGAGGCAAGTGATTTAACCTCCCTGTGCCTCAGTTTCCTCATCCATAATATAGGGAGTGATTTCCTAAAGTTACTGTGAAGATTAAATTAGTTACACAGGTGAAGAGCTTAGAATGTGGTAAGCTTTCATATATGTTATCTAGTTACGTGGCTTCATCTACCATAAATATACTGAGGGTTCCCAAACATACATCCCATTCTCCAATACTCTAATCTCGTATCTAAAAGCTCACCTGAAATCTCCATGTTGATGTCAAACAAGATCTCAGAGATCATGTTATCTAAAACTGAACGTGATTCCATAGCTTCCCCCAACCTTCTTTCCCTTTATCTCCCCCATCTCACTAACAGGTATCACTATTCAGCCAGGTGCTCAGGTGAAAACCTTAAAGTCATCCTCAACTCTCTTTTTCTCCCTCATCCAACTTTCATAAAATCTTGTTACTCCATTCCAAAATACATCCAGAATATGACCTCTTCTTACTACTTCCACCACTACCGCCTGACCAAGGCACCATCATTTCTTGCCCGGGCAACTGAAATACAACATAACTGGTACCCTGGCTTCCCTCTTTGCTCCATATAATCTATTCTTTACCCGAGAGCCAGAGTATTCTTTAAAAATGAAAATTAGATGTTGTTTCTCTGCTCAAAACTCTCCAAGGACTTTCCATCACTCGTGGCATGAAATCTAAATTCCTCTCATTTCCTAACAAGGCTCTATATGAACTGTTTACCTCTTGTCCTCATCTCCAACCACTCTCTCCTTGCCTACTCTATGCCAGCCACACTGTCTGCCTATGTTTGTCCAACGTCACAAACACATTTCTGCTTCAGGACCTTTGTGTTTGCAGCTACTTCTGCCTGGAATATTCTTCCTTCACATCTATACATTCCTCTTTCTCATTCCTTGGCAAACTCTGTTGAAATGCTACTTGTGAGAGGGACCTTCCCAGTCCACTTCACCTAAAAAAAAAACACAAATACAAACACTCCCCACCCTCATTCCTGCACCATTCCTGTCTGCCCTTTTATCTTATTTTTCTTCATAGCACTTAACAACAAAGCTGATAATATAAGTTTGCCTTCTAGAATATCTGCTCCTTGGTGGTCACAACTTTATTGTTTTATTCACTGCAATGCCCACAGCACCTAAGCAGTGTGTGGGATACAGCAGTTGCTCAATAAATATTGTTTTTCATGCATCAAGAAATGAATAGTGCTTGGCACAGTTCCTGGGACATAGTACACAGCTATACATTTATGATGTTAATTTTAAAAGTAAAAAAAAAAAAAGTTTAACAGAAAGGCCAAAATTCTTTAGTGACACTTCTTAAGATGTCAAAAATAAAATATCATATTTTCACTTAATTTCAATGTAAATATACAATTATCTTGTACTTACTTGGAGTTTCTTCTAAAATTTCCTGGAACTTAGTTCTCTCATAATCCACCAATTGGCGTTGAAAATGTGGTCTAAAACTCCTAATTAGAAAATTGGCCATGTCCATATTCATGAGGTCCAGGACATGGAATATTTGCCTAAAAATGTTGGAGTTAAAATAATTAGAGAGGTGATTAAGAAATTAACCTGAAATTCATTAACTTTTACCTATTTTCCAGACTGGAGAAAAATAAACATCCCCAAAATGGTTTTTAAATTCCAATTGCCATTTGGCAAAGTCATTTTTCATAGAAGGCATTAGACATGCATTCCAAATGTATTCTTAATAGCTCTCAAGAGTACTGCTTTAGCAAATGTAATACTTCCAGCTGAGCCATTACACCCAGTCCTGAACTGACAGAAACACACTAAGAAGTATATACGATGAGTGTTAACAATGAGACAAAAAGGGTTCAAGAAGAAAACCCCTGAAATGTTAAGGAGTCTAAACGTAGTGTATATGGTTTCTATTCCTAAGGGGTTACGAAAAAAGAAAAGAAAGGATGGAGGAATGGGGTATAGGGAAAAAATTTGTTCCTTTTAGAGTTGGGTCGCCTGGTGCTCACATCCAGCTCTGTGGCCAGGCACCGGTTAACCTCTTTGAGCCTGTTTCCTCACCTTTGAAAGGACAGGACAAGATCAACCTTAAAGGGATGCTGTGAAGAGTCAATGAGATAATGAATGTAAAATGTAAGGGACAGTGGCACCCAGTGTGTGCTCAATAGATGACCAAGATGAACACCACAGATTTGATATTACACATGATAAGACAATTAGAAGCAAAGAATCTACACCTGAAGAACTGCAATTCGCTAGAGCTGAGCACAAACCCATTTTACAGGTGGGGAAAAGTGACTTCGAGAGCTTATCACCCAAGGTCATAAAGTTACCTGCTACATGCAGTTTTCCTTCTTCTACCTTTCCAATCTATACTAATAATAGAGGAATACGCAAATTGTCCGGGATGCCATCATAGTAACAGTAACAACCGAACAACAGGCTGCATGGGGTGACCAGGCCGGCAGGGGGGGTTAGTGAGGAATGACCGAATGATTGAACAGCAGGCTGCGTGGGGTGACTAGGCCAGCAGGGGGGGCCTAAACTGGCAGTCAGACAGCCCACAAGGGGTCCTGAATTGGAGAGGGTGCAGGCTGGGCTGAGGGAACCACCCCCACCCGTGCACGAATTTCATGCACTGGGCCTCTAGTACTATAATATAAAACATATCAACGTGGCCATATTCATACACACACACAAAGAAAAGTTCCCCTCAATCGCAAAAAGTGATGCAGACTCCTCCTTCCTCTGGGCTCACAAAGAAGCTATTATCTGCAAATCCAGATTAGATTCTCACTTCCTCGGGGAAGCTGTGGCAGGATGGTTAGATCCACAGTGTGGATTTGTGGCTGGGAGATGTGTTTCTAGATGGCAACCACATTTCTCAGGCCTCCTTTAATCTAGGTGGGACCATACTAGTTAGTCCATACTAGAAGGTGTCACTTGTGGGCTGAGATGGTTAAACACTGGATACACCTTCCCCATGATCTCCTTCCCATTTACCAGCTGAATGTAAAGGACTCTGAGGACCTGGGCAAGGGTGGAGCCAACACAAGAAGGAACCTGAGTTACCGAATGGCATGTGGAAGGTTTCCTGACCAAAAAAACCCTGACTTGGATTGTGACATGAAGGAGAAACAAATTTGTATTGGTTAAGTCACTGAGAATTCATGGTTATGTGTCACAACAGCAAACATTACCCTAATAAAGAGACCTTTTTAGATCCTTGACTACGTCCCTGCTAGAGTCTCTATTAACCCTTCTACTCCCCCTTCCACAACACTTACCACAATTGTAATTCCTCATTCAAGGTCTGTCTCCCCACTCAACTGTAAACTCCTTGGGGTCAGGGATTGCCTCTTTTTCATCACTGCATCCCTAATGCCCAGCACATGCCACCTAACAAGCCTGTTAGATCATTCCATCTGAAAACTCTAGGGACACAGCAAATGACTTAAATTCTTGTTTGTTTGTTTTCCTACGGCCAAGGAGTCCTCTGAGAGGCCAGTTCTTACTCTGTGTCCCTCAATCCCCACACTTCCCCTTTGTGTGGCCTCAGAGGTACTCTAAGAAAAGGCAAGCAGCACAAGTGCTCACCTCAGCAGCTCCACAATGTTGCCAGTGGCCTTTAACTTTCTGATATCGTCATCTCGGACGGGAGCACACAGCTTCCCCATTGTGCTGATGATATAGTTGGCCAGGCCTTGGATGTCAACAGCACCGTGCTCAGCCTGTTGTCTAATGAGGTCCGTGTCCAAAACCTCACAGATCTGGTTGCGAAGCCGGTTTCCACTACCAGGAATCAGAAAGGAGAGAAGAATCTACACAGAGAAAGGGAAGACAAATTAGCAGCATCATTACAGGAGGAAAGGTTGCCACTTTTTATCTCGATGTCTAGATGACCAAGCTCCCACCCCATATTTTAATGCCCTGGATGCCACAGAAGTTTATAGGAACTGGGTGGTGGATCAGAGCACTCCAGTGTCTCAACCCTAAAAAGAAAGATCTATCTTCTGAATTAAAGTCCCGCCCCCCCATTCCCTGCCCCTGCTTTTCATGGGAAATTACTGATTCTCTCAGAATGAAAGCAACTAGTAAGGAAGTAATGTTACTGAAATAACTTCCAAAGGTTTATAGATAATCTGTGCAAAGAAAGAACAAGTTGCAGATCGTAGCTCCAAAAGAATCCATTGAAGAAGGGCAAATGGAATCCTCCCCATGGGCTCCATGAGTATAACATACTCAGTACATAGCAGACACGGTACTTATACACATAGCACATGGCAGGAGCACTCTGAGCCAGACTGCCTCAGTTTCCACCCCTCAAAGCTGTGTGACCCTGGGCAAGTGAGGGAAGTTGGTTTCTTTACATGAAATGACAGGTGTGACTACCTCACGGTGTTATGGTAAGGATAAATGGACAGTCTACTGCTTGGCTCAGAGCAAGTGTCTTGTTAATGTTGGCTAAAACTGTAACTGTCACTGTATTTAGTCCTTACAATTACCCTGAAAGGAGTCAGGAAATAAGACGTAAAGAGGGAGAGGCCATCACCAAACTAACTCTAGAGTCTGTGGTCCTAACCACTACTCTGTGCGCTAAGCATCACCCTGAGTTCCCTCTACTGCCTCTTTTCCCAGCTTCCAACCTACTCTAGGAGGTGCAGGAAAAGTCCCTCCCAGTGACTGAACTTGCTCAGTTTTTAAAAAAGAGTCTCTAATACTCTTTGGAGTACATGAAAATAGTCTTTGGGGTGGGGGGAAACAATTACTAATTAATACAGACAATGTCAACCTGCCTCTCTGATTTCTTCAAACAGTTTGATAGCGTGGTCATACTCAGGAGGGTCAGCATTCAGTTCCGACTCCAAGACATCCCAGTAGGCCTGGTGGACGATGCGCTTCACTCGGCTGGCCAAGCTAAAGGAATGAAATGGACTATTTTTTAAAATGAGCATCATTTTCCCTGTTTATAAAAGGAATATATTCATAGTAGAAATCTTAGAAAATGGAGAAAAACAGAGAATAAAAATTGGCCATCATCCCACTATTTCCATTTTTTTATGTGTTAACAGAGAGCACCCAAGATGTACAATATTACATACTTGTTTCATCATTTAATATTCTGTCGTGTTTCTCCTAGACTTTTAAAATGCTTCCTTCCTATAGCTTTCAATAAGTTCATAAAATTCTTGCCTACGAAGATGTCAGAATTTACCTAGCTACTCTTTTACACAGATTCTTAGACTTGTTCTAGATTTTTGGGATGAGATGGCAAAGTTGCTCTTTCCTCAACAGCTGAGATTTCGTGGCACAGAACAGAACAGATTGGCCCCAAGGAGACATATACTTGAAAGCCTGCCAATTCCAGCTTCCATGTCCCATTTAAAGTTAGCCAGACCAAACTGCTGAAATAGGAGCTTCCTAGGAAAAGCTCACAATAGAATAGATGGCTGCCTTGGTTCACCCCTTATGTCCATGTTCTAAAATAGGTGCACATTAAAATACACATCCCTCCTGAATGACACCACTTTGAGAACAGCACATACTTCCCTGCCCTAGAATTACTTACCAGTCTCTACACCCCTCACCTAGGGCTGGTGTAAACAATCATGATGAAGTGCGACTACCACAGAAAACCAAACGGACACACCTACTTTGGCCAGTTATCTTAAACAATATTAAGAATTATTAGGAACAACATCCCCAGGAGCAGGAAGACTGTGGTCCACATTTTATATTTTAAAAACTTGTTTACTACTGTCCTACTTTAAAACAAACAAAAAAAATTCTGAATGGAATAAAATATGTTGGCTTAAGTGATAGAGAGAATGCCTCTGTGTTTATAAATGGCGCTGTGAGGTTGAAGGCTCAGTGCCATTCCCCATGAGCCAACTTTGCTTCTAAAGATGATTTATCTGTAGTCATGGCCACAAGCCTTTCTCCTCGTTGGCCCGGCCACTGAAGCCAGAGAGGGTGAGAGAGGGTATAAGGATGTGTCTGTAACTGAAGGCGGCTTGTCGTGAGGTTGAAGACGGGAGCCTAAGCAGTTGTCATTCCCTCATCCAGAGGCTTTGGGGACGTCTCTTCTTAGCACGTTGGCAACTCAGCCACATTTCCTTATTTTTCACAATGTAAACATCAGTTTTTAATAAGTCGACGCGCATATATTTCTTGTGCGTGTATTATATGTCAGGTACTCTGCTAGGTAATAGGGACAGAGCAAACAATACAGACATAGTTCCTTCACTAATGGTGCTTTGGGTCCAGTGAGGAAGACAGGCATTGAACACAATATTATAAGGTATCTTAACAATGGGGAGGTAGAGGGGGCTACAGGAGACTTTAACAAGGGGATGTCATGTAGTCTAATGAGCTCAGGAAAATCAGGAAAAGCTTCACCCAGGAAGTGACATAAAAGCTGAGTTCTAAAGATTATGGGTAACATGTACCCATGGTTTTCAATTCAAGTATAGGACTTTGTTAGAGAACCAGATAATGTTTACTCCCATTCAACCTTATACAAGAATTTCCAGGAATCAGTGTGAATATGTGCGTGCATGCATACACACACACACACACACACACACACACACACACACACACACAATCTGCAGTACAGTTTATGCACAACAAACATCTCTAGGTTACCTGTTCCCAGGGAGGGCATCTTTTTTCAACTGAAAGTTCTCATTTACAGCAATTTCGTGAACAAGAGTCATGTTTTCTAAGTTCCTTGCTGCACCCATCACTTCGTCAAACGTTACAACCCTCGGAGGGCTTGCTGCTGAGAGAAAAGCAAAGACCAGTGAATGCTGTGGAAGAGAAGTTGTCATCCAGTGAAGCTTCCTGATGCAACTAGAGTGTAAGTTTTTCCAACATATATTTTCAGGGTTTTATAAGTAAGGAGACTATATACTAAAATAGGTGGATTCCCCTGCTTAATATTTAAGACTTCAAAAATTTAAGAACTCCTTTGATAGCTTCAGTTACTGCATTGATAAATTTTCAATGTTTTTGAGGTAATCTTATTAATATAGGCTAACTTAAATTTTAAATTAAATCATCTCATATTTGTGCCTATATTCGTATTTATTACATATAATATACAGGAAATTGATGACTACTTTTTATTTTGTAATTCATAACTCTCATTAAGCAGACTTAATATGAAATAACTGATTTTAAAACTATAATTTCTAAAAATATAGGCAGTATAGCAAAATGCTTAGGTTTGGTTCTAAATTTTGCCAATTGGTAGGTATTATTTGACTTCACTGGGGCATAACTGGCCTCCTCATAGGGTTGATTTGGGATGATTAAATAAGGGAATTCTGGTAAAAAAGAACACAGTAAGAACTCAATAAATGTAGATAATGAAAATAAATCTGATAAGCTTCTTAATGTACTTCTCAGAAAGAAGTAGTAAATAATCAATCTATTTATTTCTAAAGATTGTTCTTTAAAAATTATCTAATAAATCAGGCCCTTTTGAACTCACTGTTGGAACTCTTAGCTCCTATTAACTAAAAATCATTACCTCAAATAACAGTACTGACTAGCAATATTTTGCTACCTAAGATAATATTAAGAGGATCAGGAGGAGGAGCAGGAGGAGGAAGATGAGGGAATGGTGATATACAGAATTAGTAAAACCCTTCTTCAGGATTCCTACGTACCCTTTTAGAGGCATCAACCCTGAATATAGTATAAAGAGTATGAAAAGGCACAGAAAACTGGGTGGCTGCTAGCAAATTCTTTTGCCACTTCTCTGTCCCAGTAAGAAATCACTTTAAGGCCTAGCCATTTTGGCTAAGTGGTTAGAGCGTCAGCTTGCTAACCTAAGGGCCCCCGGTTCGATTCCAGTCAAGGGCACGTACATTGGCTACAGGCTCCTCCCTGGCCCGGGCCCTGGTTGGGGAGCATGCAGAAAGCAACTAATGGATGTGTTTCTCTCACATCGATATTTCTGTCTGCCTTTCCCTCTCTCTTCCACTCTCTCTAAAAATCAATAGAAAAATATCCTCAGGTAAGGATTAAAAAAACAAACAAAAGAAAGCTCCTTAAAAATGTCTGTACCCTTTGGTCCAATAATCCAATTATATCGAAAGAATTCCTGAAAAGGCTTTATGTACCACCAAGGTATTCATAAAACACTATAACAGCAAAACAAAACAAAAAACCAATGAACTAAATGTCCAATGATAAATCAATGGTTAAATAAATATAATCATATTCACTTGATAAAGTAGTAAGTAGTCATAAAAACTATGTTTTAACAATATATTATCATGAGTAAATGCTTTAGTTATAATTCAAAATGAAATGTCTATGTAAAGAATGAAGATATGACTGAGCACTTCTAGCTGTCATCTTCAGATGATATCATAGGCAATGTTTTTTCTCTATATTGCTCAACTCTCCAATTTTTAAAAATGAGAATGCACAAATTGAAAATAAATACAAATGAACTAACTTTTTTGAAGTGGGCATCTGATCATATTAAACATTAGTTGCTTTTTTCTGCATTTGCTTTGTCAGCTAAAGTGTTCTATTTTCTATACAAAATGCCAATTAAAAAAAAAAAAAAGACAAACACACCTGTTTATACATCTCTAGCTCCCACAGACAAAAAAAGGGGGAGGAAAAAGATGTCTCCCTTCAGCAGGGCCACTCTGTTTTTCTTTTCTTTTTTAAAAAATCTTTATTGTTAAAAGCATTATATATGTTCGCCCTTTCCCCCATTGACCCCTTGTAGCCTGCACTCCCCCTCCAGGCCTTCACCACCCTATTGTCTGTGTCCATGGGCGAGGCCACTCTTTTAATGCTTTCTCACCCTCCAAGTGTAGTAATTCTCCTCATGGGCACTTTTCTGGGGTGATTTGCACAATAGTTTTTGAAATC